ATTGTAATAGAACTACCCATTATGATATACGTGAAAAAAAAATCCTTTTCCGATGTCCCATCACAAACAATGCCCACGTACATAAAAGTATTACAAAATTTATGTTAAATCAACATGATATGACTGTTCTTAGAGAAAGTAAATAATATAACTTACATTTTACTTACAAAGTAAAGTATAAAATTTCAACGAAAAATTTACTTTTATTTGTAAAAGTAAATAATTATTTTCAAATTACTTTTATGTAAGCAGTTATTTCTAATTAGTTTATTTTACATGTAAAAGTAATTTGTTGCTATGATGTAGTTTTATTTTACTTATATATTTTTTAAATATATTTTTTAAATATTATTAATTACTTTACACGACTCATCATGAAAAGTAAGTTACATTTACAAGTAAAAGTAAAAATGCAAATAAGTTTTACTTGTAAAAGTAAATTACTTTTTCAAGTAACAGTTACTCATTTGAAAATCTTAACTTAAGTAATTAAGTTTTACACGTTATATAATTTATATAAAAAAAAACGAATTACTTTTAAATGTAAGTAAATTATATATTTTTATATGAGTTATGTAAAGTAATTTACGCTTGAAAGTATTCGTGTTTTTACGCTAGTTCGCTTTTGTGCCAGTTTTTACAACTGTTTTGCACTAATGCTAGTTCGCACTTAGCCAATGTTTGCAAATTCTTTTGGTGCACTTATGTCAATTCGCACATATGCCAGTTTGCTTTTGTTCAGTCTCCCAGAAAATTCAATGATCTTGTTCATGCTTGTTTTGGCAATGCCTTAATGACAGCCATGCTGAAAAAATTGAGCAATTCAGAGTCTCCTATTTATAACTTTAGGACGCCACTTACATTCCCAAGGTGCATGCTGTCATTCATCATGTTCCACAATTCATCCAACGCCACAATAGCTCTTTGAGAATTTATTCAGATCAAGCAACCAAAGCACTCCATCATCTTTTCAGTACTCATTGGCAAAGGTACGAGAGACCAAGCAACCACCCAGAGTATGAAGATATGTTGCAAAGACACATCACAGACTTAAACAGCATAAAAATTGGTTAGAAATATTACAAATCAGTTTAGACGTTTTTCTTAAAAAAAAAAAAAACAATTAGAATTGAAGCTTTGTCAGAATTGAAGAAAATTGTATTTTACCAGTGAATTCACTGCATAAATATTTTTGTTATGTTTTTGGGATAAATAAAAATTCCTGATCAATTAAAATTTGCGAAAATAATTCCTGTTAACACTGAACTAGTAAATCTCAACGACTGGTTTAAAGCTAATAGACTCTCTTTAAATAATGATAAAACGAAATACATTTTGTTCACAAAACCCTCAAAAACTGATAACTTACCCCTTAAACTTCTAGATTTATTTATAAACAACATTATAATAAAAAATGTTCATTCAATGAAAATTTTAGGTATATTATTTGATGAACATTTAAATTGGAAAAATCATATTAAATTATTAGAAAACAAAATCTCTTTAACCTTGGGGATCATGTTCAAAATGAGGCACCTTTTGAATAATATGTTCCTCAAAAATTTATATTTTTCATTTATACATAGCTATATTAGTCATTGTAATATAGCTTGGGCAAGTAATCACTCGTCTTTATTTAAAAAAATTTATAGCAAACAAAAACAAGCGACTCGGTTAATTTTTAATGCAGACAGATATGCACACGCCAAGCCTTTACTAAAAGAAATTAAAGCTCTGAATGTATTCAAACTAAACATTTATCAAAATTTATTGTTTATGTTTAAACTTCACAATAACATACTTCCATCATATTTTCAGCCACATTTCTCTTTAGTTAATCACAGATACTTAACAAGATATTCTATTGACAATTTTTACATACCATCAACAACTCTTAAAAAATCGGACTACTCTATTACTTGTCGGGGTCCACGTCTGTGGAACTCAATCCTGAATAATGACATAAAATCTATAGCCTCAATTGAAGCATTTAAAAAAAACTGTGAAACAACATTTGTTAAATCTAACCAATAAAAATATTTTTTTGTATTTTTAAGTCGTATTTTTATGTATTTACTAATACGAATATGTATGTTTAACTCAAAAATATGTAATTTTATAATAAACTAATTTTATAATTATAGATTTTACGAACTTAATCATGTAAATAAAGTTAACTATTTTACTATCAAAGGGGCAAGATGATAAGATGTATTGTCTTCTGCTCGCTCCTGTCAGAATTTAAAAAATATATTTTATTTTATTTTTATTTTACAAGTACATTGTAAAATTTTCTTTTCTTTTTTGTTCATTAACGAAATATATATTGATTGATTGATTGATTGAACTTTGTTAGTTGCTTATTAACTATGTATTTAATGCGATTTTATGCAAAATTTGAAAATGGATTTTCTTCCGCGGACGGTGTAACCAGATTTAGGGAGTTATATCCCAGTAACCACTAATGATAATACAATCATACCTTCAGAGGATTTTTCTGGGTCATGACATCAAGCAATATTTTTTTTTTTTTTACATCAGTGTGACAACAAAGGTACCCAGCTTTTTTGATGCAAATTTTATGCAACAAATCAACTTTTTATTAGAAAAAAATATTTTTCTAAAAATATAGGAAACTTCAGTTCATTTTTAAGTCTGTGAACTGTATAGAGAACCGAGTCAGATTATTCTCCAAAATCCTTTGTTATTTAATGTTAAAAAACGATACAATAAACTTTAATACATTTAAAATTTAAACATGCTTTAATGTTCAATAAAGAAAACTATCTCAGGTTTACGATTTTTTACCGGTAAAAAATCTGATCCAGAAAAAAAAACTCTGGTTTTCTAAATACTTGAATTATTTTTTTAAATAAATAAAATATTTATAAATATTTATTTTAAATAAATAAATATTTTTAAATAAAAAATATCCACAAAAATAATTATATGATCTGTAAAATGTTTAAAATTTTCAATAGTTCTTGGATTATAAAGCTATTTCTTTTTTTGGTAGGAGTGCGACGCTTAGTGCGCTGATCCTTTTGAAAATGTAATAAACTCTTCAATCATCTTTCATTGATTTAACGCATTTAATTTTTATATTTTTTGTACATAGATATTGTAACATTTTGTAAGATAAGATATATAGCGCTGTGGTCGGTAACGTCGAATATAAATATTTCTCTTTTTGTTAAAGTAAATTCGTTGGTAACTATTTGATCTATGACTGTTGTGATTTCATCAATTATTTATTTGGGCTTATAAGTTAATGAAATATCTTTCTGATTGATATAAAAATGTTTATATTTATTTATTAGATCGGCATAAACTCATGAGGATGTTAAAATCACCTACAAAATAAATGCTTTTATTTTCTCTTAATTAACTTCACAATGTTACAAATTTTTACAAAAATTTTGCCCTTAGTAAATTTTTTATTGTATAACAATGAATTTTCTCTGCTAATTCCAAAATTGTAAAATATTTTTTAGTATCATTGACTGTTTTAAAGTTATAATGTTTTTAGCACCGATCGGCTACTGAGCGCCATACACCCTTAGTTAATCACGAGCAGCCGTGGCGCAGTGGTTAGAGTTCTGGCTCAGAACCCAGAGGTCCGAGGTCCGACGCCAGCTCTTGCCCAACAAGCGACATTGGTACGGAAGGAGGTACGGAAGGATTTAACTTCCTGTTAAATGCTCACCCGCGGTGCTCTATGATAAGACCGTAAGGAGTTCTGGGAGCACTTAAGTACATACAAAAAAAAAAAAAAATCAAAAAAAATTTCATGGCAGGTTGTTAGAATGCTTGCAGCCTAGTCTTTGATAAGGAAAAAAAAGTAGTGGGTTACAAGACAGATAATAATAAGTAAATTGTGCGGTAAATTGCGTCATTAATTACTTTAAATATGAGTTTTTCCGTTGCCGCGACATTAAATCTTATATAAACGTATAAAAATTTCTTGCATGCTTGTTATGGAATACGCATTTATTAGGCCGGGTGAATAAAACTTATATTCTTCATTTCTTCCGAAAGTTTTTTGCTCACTGTCGTAGTTTCCGATGTGAATCTATATTCCTATTTTTTCACGTTGATTAGAAAAACTTACAACTTTTATTTTGTCATTTATGTAGTATTTTTACAACTGTTGTTCTTTTTAATTTTCTTATCTTTTACGAAATTAGAGAACCCTATCAATATTAACGTTCTTTATATTTTATCAGAAGTATAAACTACTGGCTCGCAGATATTTTAATATTGTGAATCTACAAAAGATCATATTGCATTAATTGATATTCAACCAATTGATGCTACTAGTATTCGAAAATGTATTAAACATCAATACTAACTGCTATGTTCAGGTTGTATTTAGTGCATAATTATTCCTTAAGAATTTGATAGACAAATCCGATTCGTGTTGCAGACCATTGTAAGCACTGTAAAACACAAGCACACATAATGATTTGGTTATTCATACCGAGCAGAGGTTGGTTTGAGTTTTTTCAATAAACCACGAAACAAGATCAGTACAAGACTGTCCTGACGACAACACTGATTTCAGAACACAAGAGTGTTCTTAATTACATAATGGTGAAAAAATGATTGTTACGCAAGTTGGCCCTCCTTAACCTTAAAAAACTTAGCAATAAAAATGAAGTTTTATCTCTCGACATCAAATATGTGCAATTTAAATTTTTACAATATTGTTTATATATATCACGGCAGAGTAAATAGATCAAAATGTTTACTTAGTAGACGCTAATTAGCTTGATTTTCAAGTGATTCATTAGCATATTTAAAAAAACTATAAATTGATGTTATGATTATGGTAAAAAAAATACGCAACAAAACTACAGGACAATTTGAAAATAATATACAAAGATTATTTGAAATAACAAATAAATTTTTTTAGATTATTTTAAATAGTTAATGATCCATATTTTGCCACAATTATACAAGGCTAGTAAAGTGTAAAGACTAATAAATAATATCTATAGTATATAATACATTATAATATTCATAACATTATTACACGTAAAAAATTCAAACTAATTGCTGCTGTAGAAATGAAACTTCATATCAGCCACCCACAAATTTTCAAGTTCAGTATCATGGTTAGGATAACGCTTGTTGAATGATTCAATTAATCCGGCTGAAGTCGCCGGATACTCGTGTAACTTTGTATCGCCATCTAAAATAAAATCAAACTTTTATGCATATATAAGTAAATAACAAACAAAAAATCTGCAACCTTTCTTTTTTTTAAAAAATTATAAAATGTCAAATAAATTTGCTTTGCAGAAAAAAATGGCATCATATGATAAAGCTTATTGTAAAAAAAATTGTTTTAAAAATAGTAAGGATTATAAGAATGCAATATAAGACATTAAATTTATAATTAAAGAATTGCTGTTTAGATAAGGCGTCGTCCACAAATTATGTCACGCGACACTAACTTATTGCTAAACAAGTTATTTATACATAATTATCAAAAATTAATGAGCCAAAAAAAATGTCGAAAATCTTATACACGGCATTCAAATTTTTACATTATTAAATACTAGGAAAAAAGGTTAAAATTTAAATATCCCTTTAAAAAATGAGCACTCGATTCATTATATAAGGCTTGAAATCTTATTTTTCAAAAAAGTTGCAGCTGCACAAATATTGATTTTGCTGTAAAGTGACATTTCATGACTCCTTTTTCTTTTGCATACAGATTTGTCTGTTTAGTAACTGTTAATTAATACACACTCCTTTCAAAAATTCGAGATAACCTCTTTTAGCTGACCCAGAGAAACAAGATTTGGGGTTTGAAAGCCCTTGACTCTGTGATCACAAAAATGTAAAAGTTGAAATCAAAACATTATATCCAAGAAAATAATTCAACATTTAAATGTATTACTATAAACAGCAATAGAGTAAATGACAGCTTTTGACATTTCTACAGCATATACAGTATTGGACAAAACATTTGTCCAATACTGTATTGGACAATACAGTATTGGACAACCAACATCGAACAATGCTCAAAAGTGTTCCTAATTTTACATGTCTTAAAAACGAAACGAACTATACTACCACAGCAAACAGTTCAGGAGTCTGGAGTCATAGCATGCCATGACATAAGCAATCAGCTGACAGGTGACAGCACAAAGGCAGAATTTCGTTGACAAGTGCCATTTTGCAGCGGACAAAACAAGTGCAACTTTTTTGGTTTGTTTCGTTTTCTTAAGTCTGGTCCGTGTCAACGTCACGGAAATTTTTTAATTATTAAAAGAAGTATGCAGAAGTTTCCAAAAGCATGCAGAAGCTTCCAGAAGTTTCCAGAAGAAGCATCTGGAAGCATCCAGAAAATGGACCGTATCAAGACTATGTTCCAAATATCGTTCTACGGGGAAGTTGGCAACAGATAACAAAGGTGGAAGACCGCATTCCACCACTTCTAGAGAGGATTCTATGATCGTCAGATCCGTCAAGAAGGATCCCTGGATATCATCAGTTGAGATACAAAAGCAATTAGAGCTGCCAGAATTGGATCGAAAAATCAGACGACGTGCTGTTGAAGCCGAATTGTTTTCTTGACGCCCTGCAAAGAAACAGCTGATTTTACTAAAAAACCAGAAGAAAAAACTCTAGTTTGCTACATCTCATATTGACTGGAATAAGCAGAAATGGCGAATTGTCCTGTTCAGTTATGAATCGAAGTTCAACATCATTGGGAGCGATGGCATTTGCCCTGTACGTCGACCGGCCGGAAAACGCCTCGATTTACGTTACTGGCATAAGACTGTGAAGCATGGTGGAGGCAATGTAATGGTCTGGGGGTGTTTTTCTGCTAACGGTCTAGGTCCAATACATCGAATTGATGGAATAATGGACCGTTTCATGTATAAAAATATCCTGAAAGATCTTATGTTACCTCATGCTGAATGGAATATGCCAATAAAATGGGATTTTCAGCAAGACAACAATCCAAAACACACTGCAAAAGTAGTCAAGCAGTGGTTTCAAGACAACCACCTATCGTTGATGGATTGGCCGCCTCAATCTACGGATCTCAACCTTATCGACAACCTGTGGGAGATCGTCAACCGCAGAATTAATCGTGAAGGTGTTTGTAATAAAGATCAACTGTTTGAACAAATCCAAAAGGCCTGGGCAGCGATTCCACAAAATTTAATTGATCGCCTGATCCAATCTATGCCTCGAAGATGCAAGGCTGTGATTGACAACAAAGGATTCGCCACGATATTTTGATAGCGAAATACAGCTTGGTCAACATTTTGTGGAGTTTGTTTTGTCCAGAAAGAAATCAACTTTTTTTAATACTTTTGATTAATTTATTAATTTTCGTATACAAATAATGAACTTTGTGATGAATAAAACTTGAAGAAGGTTGTCTCTAAACAGTTACATAGTTATTTCTCTAAATTGAAAAAAATGCAGCACTTTTATATAAAGAAACTAAATTAGCATTATTTGGTTGCACTTGTTTTGTCCGATACTGTATAATTGTATTACTGACTGGTGTCCTTTTGTATGTGACGATCAAGGTACACTCACTACAAATTCCCATTTTTTAAGTAAATTTTGCACGATTTATTTGTTTACAAAAAATTCATGATTAGCATAATTTTCAACTGCCGCAATAAAAATGCCCACTTTTGCAAAATCACATGAAGAAAACCGAAAAACTGTCTGTTTTCTTTGCATGCACAAGGCAAAACGAGAGGTAACACCTTTAATAATTGAAAAAGTGAAGACAACTCTCCAAAGAGATGTTGATTTTAAAGACTCAAGAGTTCCAAAAGGAATTTGTGAAGGATGCCGTTCAGCAATGAGGAGAAAAGATGAAGGCAAAGAAGTAAGCATACCACTGCCATTCAATTTTCAAGAAATTTATCCTAAGATTTCCACAAGAGACCAAGCTTGCCAATGCCTCATCTGCCAAATTGGTCAACTCAAGCTCAATCAAAGGCATACTTTGGAAAATTGGCAGAAGACTGAAAACGAGAAGGGTGACCATAGATGCTCCAAATGTCTTGCAGTTCTTGGCAAAGGCATGTCCCATCCTTGCAATGAATACACATTTCGGGAAAACATGAGGTTGCTTGCAGCTAAAGATAGCAAAGTTTCTAACCAAATAGCTACTACTGTTATCAGTCAAAAAGAGGCATCACCACATGGAACAATTTGCCTAAATCAAGCTCAAGGTGGACGACCGTTGGCATTGACACCAGGTAGATTTTTACTATGCTTATAAATTTATTTTTAAACCTAAACACGATGTACTTAATTATAAATTAATAATCTGACAGGTTCTTCAAGCTCTTGGCAGTTGTTTGAGGCCCCTACAAGAGTGACAGCACAAGATCTTGCCCAAATTCAGATCAATACAGGAATGTCCAACAATGGCATAAGAAAGCTAGCATCAACTCTTAATCAAGTATCACAGGTTAAAGTCACTGAACCATACATTGACTCTAAGTTTCTTGAAATAGGAACCAATCTTGCAAGTTTTCACATATTCAAAGCTAGAAGTCATGCAAGAGAAAGGGTCAAAAGTCGAAATCGCAACAATTATTCACTGTAAAGATTTTTCAGAACTGCTGGAGCACATCCTTTTAGAAAGAAAAATATTTTCTGATCACATTGTCAAGCTTGGAATAGATGGGGAGATGAATTTCTAAAATTTTCTCTTGGGGTTGTAGAAACATTACAGCACTGCAAAGTTTGTTCTCCGTCAAGCAAATGACTCGTGACAGTAAAGAGCTCCAAAGATAGTGGTTGCAATCAGCAACTTATTGTTGCTGTCTCTGAAGGAATGTCTGAAAACTATTCAAACTAATGTCTGAAAACTATTCTAGTCTGGTTTTGGAAATTATCCCTCCCATGGGAAATTATCTTTTGCTTGGAGTTGTTAGTTACCTCTACAAAATTCTCAAAACAGTCTGGCCTCCAACTGATGAGTGGGCAACTGCTCTTCATATTAATCTTCAGCCTTACCATGGAGGTAATTTTATTGGCAATGATTACCGCAAGCTTCTTAAAAATGTTGATCTTCTTCAACAGTTGGCCGAAGAGAAGGCAGCAGTTCATATTTTTCCACTTATTGATGCTCTGAGAAAGTTTGATGCTGTGGTTATTGCCTGCTTTGGAAACGAACTGCAGCATGACTACGCACAAAAAATTGAACTTTTCAAGCAATTGTTCTTGGCACTTGCAGCAGGAAGTGTAACTCCAAAAGTTCATGCTATAAGCGCCAAAAGACACACCCAGAATATGAGTCTCAACTTCAAAAGTGTGTGACTGATTTTAACAGCAAGCACTTGTAAAAGAATCTGTAAACGTAATTTTTATTCAGAATGTATATTTATATTAAGTCTTGACTGTTGCTTAAAGAATTTTATGTTTATATGTGCTGTAGAAATGTCAAAAATTGGAATGCTGTCATTTACACTATTGATGTTGATAGTAATAAAATTAAATGTTGAATTATTTTCTTGGATATAATGTTTTGATTTCAACTTTTACATTTTTGTGATCACAGAGTCAAGGGCTTTCAAAACCCACATCCTGTTTCTCTGGGTCAGCTAAAAGAGGTCAGCTAAAAGATCCCGAATTTTTGAGAGGAGTGTACAACTTTATATCAAATTATAGGAGCACAAAAAACATTATATTTCCCCCATACCTATTTAAGTCAGTCGATGGTAATAATTAAGGGGTGTCGACTCTTTAATATTTACATAGATAAGAGTGTAATCGTATGCGCAAGGCATTCTGGGATGTCCTGGTAGGATAGAATTAAGTTTACAACAACAAACTTGGCTGAAACTTTGCAAAGGTTTCTGTTTTATATTGCGTTATTCTTTAATAAATAATACTCTTTGTTGTTCAGAAATGCCTTTATACAGTGCTGCAACTAACTGCGCAAATACAAGTGGAATTTGTGCATTAATCATTTTGAAAGTTTAATTTTTATTTAACAAACACTGAGGGAAAATGCCTTCTCCATAATGCCATTTCTACAGTATTTATATTTTAAATATAGTCTCATGGCATCACATTCAGACGCTGTATAAAATAGAAAGACATAAATGCAGTTCTATCTGTCATGCACCAAAATTCTTGGAGCATTGTTTGAATTAATTATTGTCAACTGTTATACTGACTTCTTATTGACGGTCAAATTTGTTGATAAAAATAATACTCTTTTTAATCTAATGAACTCAAAGAAGTTTCATCCTGATAAACCTGCTCTATGTGATGTAACAACAAACAAAAATAACATGTTACTGTTAAGGTATTTCAACTTGGAATTAAGAAATGTTTTGTGTTTTAAAAGCTCTACCTCAGAGAATGTTACAATATTTTAATTACAATAACTATTACGTTTTATATGTTTTAATTTATGTTTTAATAAATGTTTTAATTTTAATATTTTAATTACAATAACTATTACGTTTTATATGTTTTAATTTATATGTTTTAATAAATGTTTTAATTTTAATATTTTAATTACAATAACTATTACGTTTTATATGTTTTAATTTATATGTTTTAATAAATGTTTTAATTTTAATATTTTAATTACAATAACTATTACGTTTTATATGTTTTAATTTATATGTTTTAATAAATGTTTTAATTTTAATATTTTAATTACAATAACTATTACGTTTTATATGTTTTAATTTATATGTTTTAATAAATGTTTTAATTTTAATATTTTAATTACGTTAAAATTGTGTCAGGAGCTTCAAAAAAAAGTTTAGCTTTTAACTTGAAAAAAAGTTGAGCTGTATTTTCACATCCCACTTCAAGCAAAATTATTTAGAAAGTTTGACTAGAACTATTCAGAGCGAAGAGGATTGAAATGACAGACTTTCGAGCAATTCGGATTAGCTTACCTGATGTTGTTGTTGTCATTATAAACTAGCAGCTTTAGAAAAAATTGTCTTAAAGAAATAGATTTTAGCGTTGTACTGCATATAAATGCTTTATTTAAACATCTACACTTAAAAAACTAAATAAACAAGATTGTCTATTTTTTGCTGACAAAAAGAAATCAATTCTTTTAAAGAAAACTTTTATACAATGCATGCAGATTTTTCTAGCTTGTTAAAAAAGGGGTCTGATTGTGTCAACAGTGTGTCTAAATCATGCCTAATATCTATCGCTTCACCAACTTTTTGGTGAAGCGATGGATATTAGGCATGATTTAGCGACCAATATGAAAACAAACAACCGAAATTATTCACCAAAATCTTTATTATATCATTGATTTGTTACATTCTATTTAACATTGTTCATGGAATTTAATGAAAAGTGGCTTCACCTACCTAGCTTATTAGATGCTATTTAAAATCATGGAATTCTGTACTTTTGACATTTTATTTAAAGATTGCTTTTAATATACTTTTTACTTATAATAAAAAAAAGTTTGCATATTTATCAGAACAAGAATTTTTCCTTTTATTCAGCTGTACATGATCTATGTAAACGAAATTTTAAAAAAATTTCAATACTGATAATTATTAAATAATGCCTTTATGTCTTTCTTTTAACAATCTGTTTTGATTTTATGAGTTAATGTGTTTGTGTGTATACATACATACATCATGTATGTATAAATGTATGTAAATACATACATACATACATTTATATATATATATATATATATATATATATATATATATATATATATATATATATACACACATGCATACATATGACATATTTGAAAATCTATAAATGAAACTAGAAAAAATAATTTACTATTTACATAGCAAATTATTATTATCAAGTTTCAAGTTTAAACACACACACATACACACATATGATATGTGTGTATGTGTGTGTGTTTAAAGTTTAAACACACACACACACATACACACATATGATATGTGTGTATGTGTGTGTGTTTAAAGTTTAAACACACACACACACATACACACATATGATATGTGTGTATGTGTGTGTGTTTAAACTTGAAACTTGATAATAATAATTTGCTATGTAAATAGCAAATTATTTTATCTAGTTTCATTTATAGATTTTTAAATTGGCTTATTATTATGACCCGATAAGCTTTATTAAGACATAATATATATAATACAACACTGTGATATTGCTGCTCTTTTGAAAAATGAGTAACCTATAATTCTAATATGAAATTTTTAAAAATAATGTCTAAATAGTATAAAAAAATAAGATTAATTCTATAACTAGTTTACAAAGTAAATTAAGAGCAATCAATTACTGACAGCATTTGGGTATTGAAAACAACGCAATTATTTGTTTTTAAATGTTATACTACCAGGGTATCCCACAATCCTCTGTAAACAAATTACATGTTTTTACGCGAGTTTACAGCCCTTGGTAATAATTACACTAAGAATACTGCCATATTAGTCAATTTATGTATGCATTGATTATTGTGTGAAATTTAAAAAAAATATAAATAAATATAATTATAATTAAACGACAATAATAGTTAAAAATAATAGTTAAAACATATATATATGAAATAGTTAAAACATATATATATATGAAATAGTTAAAACATATATACCAGTTTTCAGATACATCAAAACACAAAATACTGAAACATGTTCTTTTAAAATACAAAAAACATCAAAATCCTGAAATTTGCATTTTGCAATATCAAATAATAATAATTAAAACTTATATGCATTAATATGCATTCATCGATGCATTAGATAACAATGAGTAGCTAAGAAAATTAAAAATATTATCGTATTTAAAAACACACAAAAAAAAAAAAAAAAAATTTTACAGGTAAAGAGGTGGGGTGAGGGTACAAATTTGTTGCGTGACGTAATTTATAGACAACCACTAAAGAACAATTGAAGTTATTAAGTCAAAGATGAAGGAATGATATATAACTATTATATCGATGTTTAGATAAAGGAATCAATGAATTAATGTTTAAATGCTTTATCGTCAATTTCATGTAATCTTCAGTTTTAATGACTTATTAGATTTGATATTTAACATTAACGCTATAGCTGAAAAAAAAAATCAACAAACCTGAACTGGATATTTCAGTATTTACTTGGACGTACATCAACCTAGGTTTCTTTTTAGACATCACAATTTCTCTTACTTCGAGCATCTTTTCAGATACATCTGAGTACTTAGAATACATGTGTTGAGCGCTTTCAACGTCAGCAGTAGACTTATAGAGCTGAAAAAAAAAGTAAAAGTTTTCTTTACTACAAACTGACCATTTCCTACCTAAACTAACAGCTAATAAATAAATATGCTAATAGGATACTTTTCAGTTTTCATCAAATAATTTTTTATAATTTAATTTTAAATGAAAATCATTATAATGTTTAACATATCTAATTTAAAACAAAACGATTTTATCTCCGTAATTGCCAAACGATTTATAACCTTAACGGTTAAGCAAACGTATACTAATAAAACAATTAACAATTAAATAAAAATATATTTTACAGCAACAGTAAAAACTGCAATGAACTTGAAAATGATGAATGGTGTGGTCTTTACAATGCAACATCACAAAAAAAATTGCGAGTTTAATTTTAAATTATGGTTTACAAGATTAAACTAAAACTATTTTACAAATTGGCTACTACAGTATTTTTTTTTAAAGAAAAATCACACATAATATGAAAAAATACAAAACCAAGTGCTGCATAAGTGAAATGCTAGGGAAAAAACTCAAATGTGTTCAAAAAATGCTTGAGTAAATTTATGTTTTATTGCAACATTATTATAAAATGAACATCTATAAATATCAAAGCTTTTGTGACGTGCTGGCAATAAATATGCAAAAATAATGAAATATAAAAGTTTTGACTCACACCAACAAAGAATGATGACATACTACAAAATTAAATTGAAGAGATCTATAGAAAAGAGGTAACACTTTCAATTTAACTACTCAATAAAAAAGCTTAAAAGACAAAAAACTTGAAACAGAAAGTAGTTAATTAAACAATTTATGATTTGTCAACAATATGCAAATTTGCGGACTACAGATGCAAGATTAAAACTCATTTATAATACAATTTTAAAATGGAAATAATTTTTAACAAAATCACGCATGCCATGCCCCTTAAACTCAAAAGTGAATTTCAGATTATTGAAATTTGTACACCAAAATCAGATAGCAGCTAGGTTAAAAAAATCTTACATGAATAATGTTTTCTGCAATTATTTAGAAAGTAGAATTAAATAACGATTTTATAAATTTTTATTTATATTTTATAAATTTTTAAGTTTTTTTTATAAGAAAATTAAGACTAAAGAGTAATAAAATTTTTTTTTAAATATTTTTTTCTTTAAAAATTGCAAAAAATTAGGATTTCTAAACCTAATAAATTAAGAATCAAATTTAGAAAATACAGTTTCTCTAAAAACAGACTAAAATTCTATTGATTATCATATAAATAAAAGATTTAGTGCTACCAAAACCAATCAGGCTTGGTCGGGAAGCGGGAGCGATCGCTCTCGAATACTGACCACGGAAATTATATTTAGTTGCGAAAAACTGGCCAGGTTTTTTAGTCGTTTTGAGAACATTTAAGTTTATGTACGAAACAAAAAATTTTTGTTTTACGGACATACATGGAAACATAATAAACTTGAATGTTCTCAAAACATCTTTGTGCGAAAGAATAAAAAGAATATTCGCGAGCACTAAAAACCCGCCAAATTAACGAAGAAACTAATTCTATTGGTTCAAAAAATACGCTGACTTAATTACGCGAAATAAAGTTCTAGAGTATTCTGTTAAAATGTTTTTGAAAATGTTTTAGCTACGTTTTGAGATTTCTAGCATAAATTGTTTTAAGAATGAAAAAAAGCCTCTATATGGCAATTAGCTGGAGGAGGATAAACCACAATACCAAATTGTTTTAAAAATAAATATATGTTATTTGTTTACGAAAATAAAATTTTTAAATATGTATTAAATTGTTAAAATTTTAAAAGTTTATTATAAATTATAGATTTTATTAGTATATTCTTATTTTTTATTTAAAAAGTATGTATTTTTTATGTAAATGTAATTTCGTGTATTTGTTTTTTATTGTAATGTATCTTTTAAAGCAAATTTTATGATTTAAACAAAGACTTACAAAAATAATTGCGTTTTCAATGAAGTTATAATCATTATAGTTAATAAAACTAATTATGTAACAAATATAAGAAGTTTCTGGTTACTAAACACAAACAACGCGTACAAAGTAACTCGCAGATGAACAAGCACCGCGCCTGAGGTCATGACAGAACACAAATATATATAGCAAATAATTAGATATAAAGAAAAGTTACTAGATATTGGTTTACTAACTCTAATTATTTTCGCTTAAGTTGCCATTCTTAAAACTCGTTATACTTTTTTCTGCTTTATATACTAATTAAAATTAAAAAAAGCCCACTCACTAAATATTACCAGCGATATTGTGAAGCAGTTTCGCTTCCTCGTCATAAAGTATTTTTAACCTTAAGTTGATTTCTTTATTGTTAATTTAATTTCTATAGTAATTCAATGATTTAATTACTTCATTTATTTATCTCACATAAAAAGAATTGCTTCAAATATGTTAAACTTTTCAAACTACGCGAAACATAAAATAGGTATTGAAAAAATTAACTTTATTATTTATAAAATAATTGAACTTAAATAAAACTAAAACTTGCAAACTTTGTTAAATAAAGAATATTTGCTTCCTTTTTAAACAATCGTAAGTTGTTACTTTATATAAAAAACATCGCTTAATTTTATAAAAAAAATTATAAAAGAGCGATGTTTCGAAAATATTTGTCCTAAACGTAATTTATTTAGCTTTAAGTTTTTTCGCGTTTAAAGATTTCGCGTTTAAAAATTTACCTAATTTTTTTTGTAATTGTCTCTCATCCGTCCAAATAATCTTAAGCGCTTTTTTTTTTTTGCTTTTTAAAATGCTCAAAACGACTGAAAAATCTGGCCAGCTTTTTGCAACTAAATATTATTTACGTGGTCAGCAGTCGAGACCAATCGCTCCTGCTTCCCGACCAAGCCTGACACCAATCAATTAAAAAACAGAATATTGAAGGTAATATTTACAATAAAACATCCTAAGTAACACCACAATCTGTAGACACATTGAAGAAATTATCATGCATAACTCATATGAGTATTTTAAAATGGGACAGATTAAAGAGCATGAACACAACTAACCACCTTAAAAATTTCATCAACAACACTGGTGATAATTTCAGATAAATCAACTCACATACGCAACATTAAAACCCAATTGAAGTTGGGTTAGCGACTAAAAAAAAAAATTGTATAATTAGTTATCTAAACAGATTATAAACCATTAAAAGATGGTTTCATATAGAAATTAATTCTATCCATATCAACTTAAAATATTGTAACATTATGGGTAGTAAACTGAATGCAGAAAAAACCAAATTATAGCAATATTAAACTAAATATGTTAGTGAGAAGTTACAACAGGATATCAGAGAAAATTTGTCAGTAAAAAATTACAACATGATATCAGATAAAATAAGTGACAGTAGAAAAAATTACAACACAATATAGATAGGACAAATAAAATTAAAAGACAAAATTAAATTTAACAGTTTAAAATATCACTTTATGAATATACTACAGGGAAATATATAACATAAAGTGTTTAACACTACCAAAAAAAAGCAAAGATAATGAGGGGAGCAAACTTAACAAATATTGACAAACATTGACATTCCTAGCAACTAATATTTTTGAAACTAATAATTACATACTTGTAATCTCATAAGAAAAACGGAAATAGCTTTTTTCCCAACACTTTTAATCAAATCACGATTCAACTTTATCAGTATATCTGGTTTCCCAACTTCATCTGTTGTATGATGTAATTCAACAAAATTTTCACCAGCCTCTATGAGAACTTGCAGTATAACATATCTTGCATTCATATGAGCCTAAAATACACAAGCATATATATCTATATCTACATTTATCTATCCTTAAATATATATATATATATATATATATATATATATATATATATATATATATATATATATATATATATATATATATATATATATACATCAGAAATGTTCTATTGCTAGCTTACTTAATCGGTTATATATACACATATATACCTCATCTTATTGACCTGTTGAGCTTGTGGTAATATAGAGACAAAAGTTAAAGTTTTTTGTCAGCAAAATGACTCATTACCAAATAAATTCTATTAAAAATAAATCACAAAAAGTCCTGACATAATTTTTGAACTCAACTAGATTAGCTTCAATAATTAATGATGGGGTAACTCGTTAGTTAGGAATGTAGCCATAAGATGCCATCAAGACAGAAAAACAACTTTAGCTCCATCAATGCTAGGTGGAAGAGCTGTATGCCAAGATGAGCCTTTATATGCTCAAACATAAAAGTACGTTATTTATATGCACCAAGGTTGACAGCAGCGTGTAACTGATCCTATATGGTTGTTGACGATTTATTCTATTAATTCTGTAATAACACAAAAGGGTTATCCTGCACTTTATTGTCTTCTTAGTGGGCCAAACAGACGCTTTGCTTGTTACCTCCTAAATGGATTCTTGATAAATAGTTTGTTTATGACCATATGCCATGGTGGTGATTTCGTCTGGAAAAATCCATTATTTTGTGTTGACAGCTAACAGACTTGTTTTCACTTGTTCGTTCATAACTATTAGGTGACCCTGGCTGTCCTAACCTGAGTTATCAGGTTAGGACAGCCAGGGTCAGTCATATGTTTTATCTCTTTTTGGTCCTCAAGACACTGCTTGTACAACTCATGTCTAAGATCTTTTTTCAAAACATAATCACTCCTTTAGCTTTCCTCTAGTTTCCTACTTCAGTTAGGACAGAGTACATCTTGGGTTGTAAGGCGACAAATCCATGAATGTAGCGGTCATTATATTCATCTTTAAGTTTGCCTATAACTTTTTTGTATTTTTCAGAAAAAGAAAAAATGAAGATAAATGAAAAAAATTATTACTGTCCTATCCCACTCCTTTTATGTTCTCCCTTATGTACCTTTTATGTACTAAAGCCCCTGCAACTACCTATTTCAGGTATGACATTATCAGTGTGTATGCACTCATGTGTGTGTGTGTGTGTGTGTGTGTGTGTGTGTGTGTGTGTGTGTGTGTGTGTGTGTTTCCCTGACTTTCCAACTTTTTAAAATTATTTAAATACATTTTAATGGTTTACATTTAAATATAATATTTTTACAAATTATAATATTTTTACAAATTATAATATTTGATCTTAAATCAAATTCATTTGACTTCAAACAAAGTTTTTATTAAAGAACTAATATTAAAATAAACATTTTAATAGTTCACACACATAGCTCATTTAAAAATAAAAAAGGAAAAATATCAATGTTACATAAATGTTTGTATACACTGTTTCCAATAATGATTTGTATTAACAATATGTGTACACACCCTGTTTACACACCATTATAAACACCCTTTTACAGCAGGGGTGGCCATGACTTTTTTAATGAAGGTCAAAGTTAGCTTTTTAACTCTTATATAGGGACCAGAGTTTTTTTTAAATATTTTATTAAAAAATATTGATTTTTTTAATTTATGAAATGTATAACATGCACAAATATACTAGCACACATATACCCATATGTATACGTATAGTACAAATAATAGTTTATTGGTACTCACGAACCTGGTTTTTTCCTCAATGTTTCTAATTTCAATAAGCAACTGATTAATTGTCATTAACTGATAAAAAGTATTCTGCATGTTAGTATCGGTCGGAACAAAACCAGTTTTAGATTTTGCAAATTTCATATGAGAAAAAACACTTGCACATAAGTATGTGTTACCAAACAAGACATCCATCATTTTTGAATTGTCAATTAAGTTGCTGTACTTA